AAGTAAACCTAAGGGTAATACTTAAGTTCGCAAGCAAACCTATCACCAATTGATGAAAAACAGTTAGAATAATGCGAAATCTGAGTGAAAACAACCCAAAACAATATATTGTGGTAGGAAAATCAAAGCCAAACAATGAGGAAAAGTGGAAAACAAGATACAAGTGATCCTCAATTCGAGGGGACGATCGTCTCTCCCAAATCTCTTGACAATAGAGTCTAGAGCCCAAGTCGCCAAGAAACTCTAATTGAGAACAAATCAAAACATAATCCTTCCCTAAACATCTCTTGCTCTTAATACAAATACTTTACTAATCTAATCTCCCTCCCAAGACCTAGTCGCCCCCTCCTTTTGAATTTGAAATCCATTAGGCAAGTTGGGGCCCACTATGTGGGTGGGCAAGAGCAAGGGAGGCGGACATGTTCCGCCTCCTATAAGCCTGAGGGCGGGCTGGGCCTGTTCAAGGTGAACCGGTGGCCTAACAGGCGCAAAGGTTTGAAGGAAAAGTGGAGCATGAGTCCCACAATCCTCATTAGCATGTTTCCAGTTGAAGCACTTGAGGAGGATTTGTTATGGATAGTAATGCCTTTTTTCTAAAAGATAGGTATCTGTGATTTTGGACTGTAGAACTACTTTTCTTTGCTTTGGATGGATTCATGATTGTTGCTACACTCAAATAAACTCACAAATAAATCGAATTGAACTTTACTTAGTTGATCAATCAAAGTGGGTATAGAATTATAAACACTGGCGGAACCACATGAAGCTTAGGGGGGTAATTGCCTTGCCCCCTCAACAAATTTTTTTGCCCCTCCTAAAAAATTATTTTTTCCCCCCTAAAAAACTCGTTTGCCCTAACTTATTCTAAAATGTCTATATATTTCTTCAAATTTAGTTCTAATATTTTCTTTCATGTTTTTTTATGACAATTTAATTACACTTTTTTTCTTTATTTTTCTTGTTTAATTTTTTTTAAATAACTTATATATATATATATATATATATATATATATATTATTTTTAATATTTAATTAAAAGAACCCAAGTGCAAAACGCAAATTTTTTTTTATTAATAATCCATCCTCCAAATACAAGAGAGGGGCCTCTATATATAGGTCTCAAGAGAAATTAAAAAACACATTCGCCCCTTGGGCTTATACAAGACAAGAGGGTAAAAAGGGAAATTGCAAAACTAAATTAAAATACACTTAATAAATGAAAATAAAACAAAGTGATCTCGGTCGTCGATCTTCAGCTCCTCCTCGGATTAGCATGGACGGTTGGATGTCCGCATCAGTTTTAGCCTGCTATTGTTAGGATTGTTGGTACTTGATAGCAACAGCGATCACTCGAATATGCAACAGAACAACAACAACATCAAGCTTTTTTATTCTATTATGTGGGGTTTGCTACATGAATGATGAATCCTTTTTCTCTATTATGTCTTGCTAAGAGTCAAATTCTCATTTAAATCTAAGAAAAAAAAAAAATCATTTCTTATATTTTCTAACCAAGTCTTTTTTAGGTCTACCTCTACCTTTCTTAACATAATCCAAATATGATACATCTACTCTCATAATCGGGTCATCAAAAGTCAGCCGTTTTTTTTTGACCAAACCATCTAAGGCGACTCTTTCTAATCTTATCTTCCACTGGAGCTACTCTAACCTTTTCACGTATGTTCATTTCATATCGCGTCTCTTAGTGTAAAGCCACTCATCCACCTGAGCATCCTCATCTCTGCAACACTTAACCTAATTTTATGCTTCTCTTCTAATGGCCAATATTCTGTGCCATAAAGCATTGCAGGTCTCAACACCATCTTATAGAATTTTCCCTTAAGTTTGAGGGGAATTTTTCTATCACACAACAGACATGATGCATTCCTCCACTTCAACCATCCAACTTCAATTCTACTAATAATATCCCCATCTAATTCACTATCATTTTGAACAATAGACCCAATATATCTAAATGTGTACTATTATTAATGACTTGATCACCCAAAGTCATAACCCCCGACTAGATCTATTACTAAAATTACACTTCATACATTCGGTTTTAGATTTACTCAAACGAAAACCCTTTAAACTCTAAGGTTGACCTCCATAATTCAAGTTTACCTTCAACTCCCTCTCTAGTCTTGCAAATGTTTAGTGAGAACATCCAGGACTAAAGCAAAAAGACATGGGCTTAAGGCTGATCCCTGAATTAATCTGACTATCCAACGGAAAATGCAACACTGAGAAAAAAAAAGGAGCAAAAGATTTACGTGATTCAGTTAAATAGTATTTCCTATGTCCATGAGCTTATTGAGAGATGATTTCTGCCACTTCTGTGATGAGTTCAAAATCAATTATAAAGTACTAATACTTTCTCTCCCTTTTCCTCCCTTTTTATTTTTCTTGTCTTTTTTTAATTAATTAATTATTTTATCTTATATAAATAAATATATATATATATATCATTTTGCTTACCTCCTTTTTTTCCTTTGCCCACAATAATGCTTCTATTACTTATCATCAAATTTGCAATAATCTTCTTGCCAATTAAGGGTCGTCTATCCTATCATCGACCAAGGTCTTATCACCTCTCATATTCAAGATATCCTCCTTGATTTTGTCTTCAGGACATTCATCAGTTTATGAAGAGCCTACTTTACCTACAAAAAGAACCTCTCACTTGTTCTTCATGCCTTCGGCCTCTAGGAGATCAATAACAGTAGTGGGAGCAAGTACAATAGATAAAATTAATGGTTTTTCAATTGAAAATATTTTGTGTGTGGAAGGTTTAAAGCATAATTTATTAAGTATAAGCCAACTTTATGATAAATGTTTTGACGTAAAATCTTTTTCTATAAAATGCTTATTAATGATCAATGAAAAAATTTTGTTAGAAAGTTTGAGAATTACTGAATTAATAATGCTTATATGATTAATTTGAATTGTATTGAGAAATATATATATATCATTTTGCTTCCTTCCTTTTTTTCCCTTTGCCCACAATAATGCTTCTGCCACTTAATATCAAGTTTGCGATGATCTTCTTGCCAATTAAGGGTTGTCTATCCTATCATCGACCAAGGTCTTATCACCTCCCATATTCAAGATCTCCTCAATTCTGTCTTCAACAAGACAATCATTAGTTTATGGAGAGCCTACTCTGCCCACAAAAGGAACCTCTCACTTGTTCTTCATGCCTTCGGCCTCTAGGAGATCATTATTGGCTCTATACCAGAGTAGCTACTCCTTATTGGTATTATCTCATTCACCTGAGAAGCTTATAGTCGCAAGTTCCATTCTTCCAAACAAGGAAACTGCCAGACTACTCTTAAAAATCTTAGAGAACCACACTCAAGAACTTCTTAGTCATAATTTTCTCTTTATCTATGAGATTTTCCTTTTATCAACTTGGCCCCTTTTATAAGTCTAATGTAAGGTTGGTATTGAGTAGAGTTTGAGTAAGTTGAACCAAATTCAAATTTGAAATAAACAAGTTTAAGCTATTTCAAACTCGACTTGAAATCAAAATGTATTTGAGTTGTGTCGATTCTACTCGAAAATAGTCTATTATACCTTTGATCTCCACAAGCACTCCATTAGACATGTAACAAAGCATCTAGTCACTGTTGGTGTCCCACTTAGTTACCTGAGAAACTTATAGTCACTAGTTCTCCTCCTCCACGGGGCACCAAGAGATTCCTCTTGAAGATCCTGGGGAAAAACTAGCTTGAGATCCTTCCAAACATAAGGTTCTCTTACGTTACTCGTGAGATTCTTGTTCCATTTGACTCACCCTTCTATGAGTTTAATGTACATTGGGGTGAACCATGTAAATTGAGATGTTAATGTCTTAGTTAGGCAACAAGTGTAATAAATTTTGAACCTGCAACAGATATGGCTTGATTTGAACAATTATGTTTCACCTTAAAATCATAAAATCCGAGAATAATTATCCAGAATTAATCTTAAATTCAAATCCTGAGTCGAGGAACTTAAATTCCTCATTTTGCCATGCGTCTCAAGGGAGTTTTTTGTTATATTTTTTTATAAGAGAGAAGATGCAAGTTCCGAGAAACCTATCAAATAAGCTATCAAAGCTAACATGGCGCTGATAGGAAATACTTGAGTTCGCAAGTAACCCTAAGGGTAATACTTGAGTTCGCAAGCAATCCTATCTCTAATTGGTGAAAAACAGCGAGAATAATGCGAAATCTGGGTGAAAACAGCCCAAAACAATATATTGCGGTAGGAAAATCAAAGCCAAACAATGAGGAAAATAAGCTACATGATCCTCAATTCGAGAGGAGGATCGTCTCTCCCAAATCTTTAAACAAGAGAGTCTTGAGCCCAAGTCGCCAAGAAACTCTAATTGAGAACAAATCAAAACATAATCCTTTCCTAAACATCTCTTGCTCTTAATACAAACACTTTCCTAATCTAATCTCCCTCCCAAGACCTAGCCGCCCCCTCTTTTTGAATTTGAAATCCCTTAGGTAAGTTGGGGCCCACCATATGGGCGGGCAAGAGCAAGGGAGGCGGACATGTTCCGCCTCCTATAAACCAAGGGCCGGCTAGGCCGGTTCAGGGTGAACCGGCGGCCTAACAGGTGCAAAGGTTTGAAGGAAAAGTGGAGCATGAGTCCCACAATCCTCATTAGCATGTTTCCAGTTGAAGCTCTTGTGGAGGGTTTGTTATGGGTAGTAAAGCTTTTTTCCTAAAAGATAGGTGTCTGTGGTTTTGGACTGTAGAACTACTTTTCTTTGCTTTTGCTACACTCAAATAAACTCACAAATAAATAGAATTGAACTTTACTTAGTTGACCAATCAAAGTGGGTATAGAATTATATATGCTTTTATTTAGGTGTGTTGACTATTCCACCTAATCGAAGTGGAGCAAAATCTCATATTTTGTGTGAAATTGTTTCGGGAATGAGGCTTTACTCTGCATGTTTTGAGAGACTTTATATTGAAGTGTTCAACCGTCCACTTTGCTGTCAGGTCTTGGATTTATTCCCATCCTCTCAGGGTTTGGAAGTTCTATGGTCTTCAGTGGTCAAGATTGCGCAGTCTCTTTATCGTGAAGCTCCTGGAAAAGATCCATTTAGACCAGATCAAAAGACTCCGGTTAAAAATTTCTTCCTAGCGGGTTCCTATACAAAGCAGGTAAGTCAATCTTTAATGTATTTTGTTGATAATCTCTCATTTTAGGGCTGTTTGCGTAGTGATACCTCATGACATTTTCTATAACCTTGTCAGGGATAATCTCCCTTTAGGGGAGGGGTTAAACCTCTTTCTCACTGAAACTTCCAACAATAATCACTATTTTCAATCCTATACTGCCAGGATTTATTTAAGATGGGATTATAAACACCTATAACTGTGTCAACCATTAAAATATCATTATGCATATTCAACATGCCTTGAACTCACTTTTATGCTAGGCGTTTACTACTATACTTACGGATCAAGCATAAACATGGTTATACTTCCTTGCACTATAATCAATACTTTTGTCAAGCTAGCTAGGTTATTCATCCAACAATTAAGCAAAAATTTAAGGGTTATCAAAGACTTTTTCCACTTCTCTAGCATTCGCGAGAATACAGGAGAGTTACTCTAATAAAACTTATAAAATATTCTCAAATAAAGCACATTAAATCCCATGTGTAGAACCTAAACTTGTACTTGATTTATTCATTGGAGGGCTTCGCCCGCATTCCACTTACTCAACCTTGATGCGAATGAATTTACACTTATGCAAAAGGCCCATTCATCATAGGATCACAGACGCTCTCTCTCCCCATGGCCTTTCGCGCATTTCATTATGATGCTATTAAGATATGTAACTCTTTTATATGGATCATTATTATCAGTTGCTCTTATAGTGATTACATTTCAAAAAAGAATCGATTCTTTTTTGAAAAACAAGAATTTTTTCAGTTTAAGGAAGTCGTTTTTCTTTGGTGATATGGAATATTTGAACCAAAAAGGAAGTGTATTAACTGTCAACAATTCTTTAAAAACTCCAATAGAAGGAATGACTAACAATAGGGATTGGACCTGCATTTATAGTATTGGAAGGATAAACAATGTAAAGATCAAGATCTCTCTCACCCATAGTGATAAAATAAGTAGCGACGACGAGCGGGGATGTATGTCAATTTAATACTTCTAGTTCTAGCATCTTATCGGCTATACAAAACTACGAGCATGTTAAGTAGTGTAACCTATTGAAGCCAAACTAGGAAAATCATAACCAACACTACGACTTCTGTCATAGTTGTGGGCACATCATTGAAGCCTGCCATCAGCTAAAGCAAGAGATAGTAGCTCATCAGATAGGATATCTTATTCTTTCCTTTGATGCCAAAGCTTGCGTACCAAGGCTGATTAATTTATGGGCCAACCTACGCAGTACTGGTCACAAGGCAATTTGCTTAAGGCAGTTGGCTTAAGCCAGGCAATTGTAGGATCAAGATAATTGAAGGACCTTTTCTGTAAAGATACGTTCTCCTTGCCACTCTTGAAGAACCCAATATCTTTAATTCTTGTCCCAATTACCCATTATCTTTAATTATTCTCACTTTATGTGAATATAATGTTTGGATGAAGATCCACAAATAATCAATGTCAAATAGGAAGAGAGGATTAGGATTAGGGGTCTGCAAATTATTGTGGCTGTTCTTGTTCTTGGAGTTTGGTGTCTTGGGCTGTAGCGGCATCTAGGGGTTGGGAGAGATAGATCCTCCTCTCAAATTGAAGATTAATTGTACATTGCTTTTATTTCTTCCGTTAGTTTGATTTCTTCAATAAAAACTATTGTTTTGCTTGTTTTCCCATCGGATTTGTGGATCATTCTTGCTGTTTTTGTCTCTCTTGTTAGGATTTACTTGAGATCTTCAAGTATTTCCTAGCAGAATCATGCTTCAGCATTAAAAGCATCCTTATTGAGAACATGAGTTCCGTTGACATCCTCTTCCACTTCTCCTTAGCATCAATCTTACCAGGGAGAAGCTCAAATTGGCTACTTGACCCCTCACCGAATTTGAAAATTGTTCAGTGAGAGTTGAAGGCACTATCACTTTATATGTTTCTCTTGATAAATTTCTCCGACAATTCTCATACGCTATCGAGTTTGTGATGGGCTAATTTGAGTCTACTTATAATAGGATCTTCAGCAAACCATACTATCAATCTTTAGAGCCATCACATTTCTGCCTTATTTGGAGCTCAAGTTCCCCACACCTATTGGATTTGGAGTTGGCCAAAGGCAACCATCAAGTTGCTATCTTCTATTAACTTCACTTATTTTAACCTCGCTTGATGATGAACTTCAGTGCCAACAGCCCAGAACTTTAGACTGAGCTTTTCTTGTCCACCCAAGTACGACACGCCCAATTAAATTTCCTTCAAGCTCATTAAGATGCCTCTACTTGCAGCCTCATGAAAGTTGGAGTTTAATTTGGAGCATGCACTATCTCCAGAACAATTATCTATATAGCTCATCTCTTCCAATTTTTTTGTTTATTCTGTAGGATCTCCACTTGTTCTAGTTGTTTGTTACTAAGCCACTTTGTAAACTAAAGTTTCTTATCAACAAAAGTTACTTTTTTGACATCCCTATTTAGGCTTTGTTTAAGACTACTTTCTTCCTGCTTTATGAAACAGCTTTCTAGTACAAAAATTTCTAATTCAAAAAAAAAATTGTATTAAAAAAAAATGCTTTAAAAAACAGTAAGAAAGTTGTCCCGAACGAACCATAAGGCTTCGTTTGGAACAGCTTTCTTATTGTTTTTTAAAGCAACTTTTTATTTAAAAATTTTCACAAGAGTTCAACTGAGTGCTGTTGTTTGTAGAAATTAATTATCTTTTCACCTTTAGCATATTGCCCAATTATTTGGTTCACCAACTTTATTTGGCTACTTGGTTTTTTTTTTTTCTTCCAACATAAAATAAAGAAGAAATATGCTTTGCTCCATTAGAAAGGCACTTACTGCACTTGCTATGTTACTTGGCTACCTGAACCAAACAAGCACAGCCTAACATCTTTGGCTGAAATTCCGAACATCTTTTTATATCATCTGCAGGACTACATTGATAGCATGGAAGGGGCAACTCTATCCGGCCGGCGAGCCGCAGCTTACATTTGTGGAGCCGGCGAAGAAATCCTGTCGCTTCGCTAGAAGGTAGCTGCTGCTGAAGAAGCAAAAGATATCTTCAAGGAGTCCAACACATTGAGCCTTGTCTGATTTCCATCTCAACTGAATTTCTCAATAAGCATATAGAAAGAAGAACACATCAAATGGGCTCAATTTGTGCCATTGTAAATTAAAATAGGCTCACTTGCTCTTCTTCTTCTTGTTGGAAGGCCTTTTAATGATTCTATCCCCATTTTTATGTAATCTGTAAACCAGATTGAAAATAACATATGAGATCCATTCAAGCAAAACTATTCGAGAAATATGGTTAATGTTTTTTTTTTTTTCCTTACTGCAATAAGGTTTTTATTTGTTATAATTTTTATTCTGCAACAACAATAACATAAAGTGCAGTAATATATATACTTTTTAATTGTAGTTTTTTTATTTAAATGATGAAATATTGTTTATGATAAAATTTATTAGAAGGTATAAAATAATATTTAAGTGTGATTTATTTAAATATTTTCGATCTATTAATTAATCTTATTAATAATTACTAATTAAATTTATTCTAACATAAAATTATATTTAAGTGATTTATTTAAATATTTTGGATATGTTTATATAAATGAAAAATGTTATAAATGTATATTATATCTTAAGAAGATATCATTAAGACTTAAATATAAATAAGTAAAAATACAGTTAGGTTGATAATGTTATATGAATTTGAGTGTTGTAAGTCGTCTGCTTGTTAAGATTTCATTTGGGATGGTTTTCTTATTGCTTCTTAAAACATCTTTTTAGTATAAAATTTTTAATTTTTAAAGCAGAAAGCTATTTTAAGAAATAATAAAAAAAAAGTGTAAAACAATACACATAAAAAATTGCAAAGCACCAAAATGTAAGAAAAAATTTTGTATTAAAATCTGCTTTAAGAAATAACAATAAAATCATTCCAAACGAAACCTTAACAAGCATTCGACTTACAACACTCAAATTCATATAACATTATCGACCTAACTGTATTTTTATATTTAAGTCTTAATGATATCTTCTTAAGATATAATATACATTTACAATGTTTTTCATTTATATAAACATATCCAAAATATTTAAATAAATCACGTAAATATAATTTTATGCTATAATAAATTTAATTAATAATTATTAATAAGATTAATTAATTGATTCAAAATGTTTAGATAAATCACACGTAAATATTATTTTATACCTTCTAATAAATTTTATCATAAACATTCTTTCATCATAAAAAAAACTACAATTAAAAAGTATATATATTACTGCATTTTATGTTATTGACTTATTGTTGTTGCAGAATAAAAATTATAACAAATAAAAATCTTATTGTAGCAATAAAAAAAAAAAAACATTAACTATATGAAATGAAGATGAAGTATATTCAATAAATTTCATATTAGTTTACTCAGCTATGAATTTCTCAAAGGGCAAGTTTTAAAAAGGAGGATGCTTAAAACATCATTATATAAAAAGGAGCATCATTAACAAAATATTTAAAAAAGAGTTAATTCGACAAATTTTTTAGCCTAATCTGAACAAACTAAATGATTTGACTAATTATGGATGTGCCAAATAATTTGGGAATGAGAAAGAGAAAATTGAGGAGAGAGAGTGCGGAGGGAGAGACAGATGGGGAGAGAGAAAGAGAGATATTTTATCTTTGCAGCATTCTCGTATGACACACATGTCTGTTCTCTAGATCCTCTTTAAGAAGCTCCAGTATTTCCCTTGCATCAGCCTCGTTGGGCGCTTCCTCCAAATTAGAGCGGCATACAGAACACTTTTTGTTCAGAAAAAGCCACAGATTGATACAATCCGGGGTGGAATGCATGGTGCTTTGCAGTTTTTGCTTGCACATATAATTTTTGATGTGTATTGTTTTACACATTTTTTGGCCTCTCCCCCTTCTTCTTGTTTTGTTTCTCCTCATAATAGTTTTTTGTTTCCACTTCTACAATTGTAACTATTTTCTATATTGGAATGAATGGGCATGGCCCTTAATTTGTCCCAAAAAAAAAAAAAAATGAATTGATCAATAAACTCTTCTTCCCCTTGTCTTATATGAATGAGAGAATCATATTTCAAAAATAAGATTTATTTTAATTAATGTTTTATTATATATTTTTATGTACCAAAATAATTTTAATAGTATTTAAATAATAGTTTGAGTAATATTTAAATATTAATTTTAAGTAACGATTTTTAATTGAGATTTCAATAATCATTAAAATAATACTTGTTGACCCCTACACGTAAAATCATGCGAAAAGAGGCGAAAACGATGATTTAGGCAATACGTGCATTGACAAAACACATCACTTAAAGGGTCAAATGACCTCCGAATGCCAAACAGATGATATCGTTGTGATTAGGACACTAAATTCTGCTGGGTTGACGTCCCTCACAATTGAATTGGAAGAGATGAGTCAAAAGGGAAGACCGACACTTGAAATTAAAACGTAAGGCTGATCAAACGACGTCGGATCAACAAACGGACTTCGTCATTGTGTTCAAACCATTGCAAATACTCAAAAACTATATTTTATTTGTTCAATTTGGATCATCTTAATGGGTGACACGAATTTCGAGACAAACACGTGTTTCGAGGAAATCAGGCCTCGGCGTGGCTCGGTTGATGTTTGCTCGCGAAACAGACAACTTCATTGCGACCGAAACATCGACAATACTCTAAATCCATTATTAATTTGTCTAATTTCAATATTCGAAGATTTTGACACGAGTCAATCTGCACGCAAATCGAGGAAAATAACACACAAATCCAGACGATTTTTTGCTGATTGAAATATCGCTATAATGCATAAGTGATAAAGCATCAATATAGTTTCCAACTTAAAAAATTTTCTAAAAAATCAGATGCCAAAAATGGAAAGTCAAATTGAAGTTCAAATCACCATTCAATGTGAGTTACCTGGTATCCCTGTCAAAACCCTAAAATCCCCGCTGAAGGCACGTCAAATAGACGTGAAAACAGTCCCTAAAGCGTGCTCTTGATCTGCAACGAGTCCTCTGTGGTCATTAAAATGAGTTAAACGAGTTCTGTTTGCTTCTCTTCTCTGATCTTTGCTCTTCCCAACTCCTCTTCCACTACTACTGTAGCTTCTCCTGGAACTGGAGCATATGAGACTACGGAAGATCTCAAAGTAAAGCTTTACCTGGAATTGCAAGAGTAGTATTGGGACGAACATCTAAGAAAAATTGAAGGTAGAGACGCTGATGGAGCAGCTGGAATCGAGGACTCCTACACCAAATCCAACTGGTCACCTGCTGGTAAGTTTTGAGAAAAGTTGTTGATTCAGCACATACACTTCCTGTCCAGCTTCCCCTGTTGCGATCGATTTCCTCACACAAAGCCGGCTCACTCTCTCCATCTCTTACACTAAACCACACTCCATCAGAGATACCGAATCAAGCAGCTTTGAGTTCATGGGGACTCTAAATAGGTCGGAGAAGCTTTGTGAAAACCTCAAAACATGGAAGATGTAGAAGCTGAAATGAAGATATGGATCAGATTAGAGTTAAAGCATACCATGGGCATGCATAACAATGTCTACAGGGAAGCAATCGGTGCTAAGAAAAAGGCAATGGGGGCTCCAGCAGTGGAAGATGGAGGAAGAAAACAGGTTAGAGAAGGCAAGGCTTGCAGTTCAGAGAGCACGCCTTCTAAAAAACAAAGAGGGGAAGAAGTTTGGTAGTACATATCGTCGACGGCAGAAAGAAGTTTAGGGTAGAGCATATCGTCGACGGCGACGATAGTGACGATGGCGACGACAGCGATGATGGAGGCGACGGCGACAACAACGATGGCGGCAACAACGACGATGGTGACGACAGCGACAGCGACGGCGACGTAATGCAGCCAAGGAACAATGAGGCTGGATTAGATCCGGCTATCATTTCTTTGTTTCCGATGCTTCTCCATCATAGGGCAATGCAGGTGGTGGAGGGGAGACGCCTAACATAGTGTGAGGTGTGACTCATGGATTATGCCGTCAATGACATTGTTTGGCTGCTAACTGTGTGCGTTCATGCTTTCCACCCGGATTGTATTAATCCGTGATTTTTTTAAACAAAATGTGGCCCGTATACCGCTCGAATTTGGAGGCAGCGCCCGGCAAGGCTGATGCAAGGGCAATGTTGGAGCTTCTTAAAGAGGACTAAGAGAATGAAGGTGAGTGTCATACTGTAATGCAGTGACTGCAAAGATAAAATGTCGTAAGCTGAGTGCTTCTCAATAAGAATGTACTTAGCTTACAACATTAATTTTATCTTTGCAGCCACTGCATTCCCGTATGACACTCACCTTCGTTCTCTTGGTCCTCTTTAAGAAGCTCCAGCATTTCCCTTGCATCAGCCTTGTCGGGCGCTGCCTCCAAATTCGAGCGGCATACGGGACACATTTTGTTAAAGAAAAGTCACGGATTGATACAATCCGGGTGGAAAGCATGAACGCACACAGTTAGCAGCCAAACAATGTCATTGACGGCATAATCCATGAGGCACACCGCACACTCTGTTACGCGTCTCCCCTCCACCACCTGCATTGCCCTATGATGGCGAAGCATCAGAAACAAAGAAATGATAGCCGGATCTAATCCAGCCTCATTGTTCCTTGGCTGCATCACATCGCCGTCGCTGCCATTGTCGCCGTCATTGTTATTTTTTACTTTTTAAAAAATGTAATTCAAATTCATCTATTTTTTAAATACAGTGGATAGCCATCAAAGTGCTGATAGGAGGCCTGCAATGACTAATGATGGAGCCAGAAAATAATTTTTTTTTTTTTTTTAATTTCTGTGAACAGCCAAAAAGTAAGAATTTTTGTATCGTAATGATCACCTCAAGTAGAAGGATAGGATGGAAGAAGGAAATGTTCCATTGCCAGGTAGAAATAATAAGAAAACTATGATTTTATTTTATTGATTTACAAAGCTAACACAACAAGCATATTTATAAATCAAGAATAATATCCTCAATAAGAGAGTATATATTTTGATAATAAATTTGATATGTTCTTATCATAAATTCAAATTCAAAACTCATCATAATTGATTTAATTTATGTTGCTTTATTTCCCTTCATTTTGATCTGAACCTTCTTTCTTTTTTGGTTTATTGTACACCATATCTCCATTCGTTATCTTTTTAGGATAATTTTAATTTTTTTATAAAGTAATTTTAAAATTTTTGCGGAAAAAATAAAATTTTTGAAAGGTTTTGCAGAATGTAGATTCCAAGTAAAAATAATAATCTAAAAGCAGTG